CCCAAACACAAACGGATCATGTTAGAACTTAAGTAATCCCATCTGACTGCGGCCTGGAGCTCACAGGCAGAGCAGGAAGACTGATCCATTAACCGATTACAACATTAAAAGATTTATTTAAACAAAGCTGCTGCATGGCCTTTGATTTGTTCCTCTAGTGTTTAGAAATGTTTGGGAAAAGAAATCAGCAGATGGAGACAGAACAGTCTGGTTTAATGTTTATTGCAGTAATTCTAATGGAGGCGCTTCAGTAGAGTTCAGAGCCGGTAATAAAATATATTTTTAATGTGATTGGTCGAGGTAACTAAAACTATGCTTATTGACAGCAATAACTTAGAGTATTACTTTAAAAAGTATTTTAGTATCTATGATATTCAAACTAACAGTGTTATCTGCACTATTGTTGGATTGCTAGAAGCCACGATAAGATCTGAAGCCAGGTGGTCTCCATTGGGACTGAGCTCAGGGATTTTACTGTGATAAGATCTCTGGAGTCATCAGTAGAATGATCACATTCAGATCTGCGACCATGAAAACAACCAGAGACGTTTCTTCACCGGTGCCTTTCTGTCTCATCTGTGAAAAAAACAAAATCAAATGTTTATTAAATTACATCAGTGGTTTGATAATGTATGTTTGTATTTTAGGCTCATTAAAAACTCTAAATGGATCTCAGTTTTAAAGTGCATCCATCCATCCATCCATCCATCCATCCATCCATCCTCTATCCATCCATCCATCCATCCATCCATCCATCCATCCAGAGATCTATCTGAACAAATATCAAACCATCACTTTTAAGTCTAGGTGTTGTTTCTCACTGACAGCGAGACCATCAACCCTGAAGAAAATGCTCTTTTTGTAACTTTTATTTAACTTTTCTAGCTTTTCTATTATTTCAGTCACCCAGTCGACATCTTAGCCCTTGATAGATCTCATACTCCTTTTACCCATACCAAATAGCCTTAGGACTTCTCCAAGAGAGCACAAAGAATAAATCTCATGTTAAAGAGCTTAAATTGCTTTTATTTGGTCTGAGTTATAGTCTAATAGTGATTATGTGTTTGGGTTTGCTTTAAGAATGCTAAGAAGAGATAAGATGCTTTGAGGCACCAAAAGAGGGAAATGCCTTATTACTGGTCCCAGTAGACGTAACTGGAGATGAAAACTTTCACCAGAACATCTGGCTGAGAATGAGAACGGTTTTTACAGATGAGGTACCTTTGGATTCAAATCCACATGGGTTTAAATGAGGTGGTGGGGCAGTTACACATGAAGTTTTGTCCTTTCCCTCTATCTCATTGTATCTTCTGATGCTCTGAGTCACTTCCTATGTTTTATCAGCATCTGTGGGGAAAAGCAGACAAGCTGCAGCTGTTCATCAACTATACACAACATCTGCATCTGTTTATAACAGCAGCCACAGATTAGTTCTATTTGCATCCATTTTAAACCCAAAGATGATTCTTTATGCGTTTTTAACCCTGTTCTGGCCCCACAAACGAAGAATTTTCTTCTCTCCTTGTAACCATCATTAATTGTTTTCTGTATTTCAATCACAAATAAAAAAAGTCCAATACAAAACAAGAAAACAAAACAGAAGAAAGTCAACAGAGAAGTTAAATAGTATTAACAGATCTCACGAAAAATGTGTTCACTTAAGTCACTACAAAACAAACACAGTCCAGTAGTTTAACCCTAATCCTAACTGCAGTTTGTGCTTGTGCACCAAGCTACAGCTCAAAACACCCATCCTTTTTGGAGTCTATGGAGGAGGTGCTAGAGAGCGCTCCTACCAGTGACTCCCTCGTTCTCCTGGGGGACTTTATCACTCATGTGAGCAACGACAGTGAGACCTGGAGAGGTGTGGTTAGGAGGAAGCCCCCCCCCCCGATCTAAATCTGAGTGGTGTTTTGTTGGACTTCTGTGCTTATCGTGGATTTTCCATCACAAACACCACGTTCAAGCATAAAGGTGTCCACATGTCCTCTTGGCACCAGGATACCTTGTCTGTGAAGCGGTGCAATCTCTTTCTCCTCCCGTAGAACCGGCCCATATGGCGCGCCGCCCAGCATACGACAGTGGAAGCAGTCTACTCATGGATGCAGGCAGAGGTCCAACCTCTGCCCTGCTGTCATTCAAAGGCGTTGCTCCCTCTCGTTGTCGCTGCACGCCAGGGATGAACTGCTCCTCCTGCGATCCGACCCGTTCTGTGCTACGTCCTCTTCTATTGGTGCAGTCCCTCTGCCTTCTTGTTTTTTGTCTCTTTTCCCTCCCGCAGTTCTGCAGCTTCTTCCTTTTATCAGCCTGCCAACTATGCACACCTGGTGTGCTCTCACAGTCACGCCAGTCATGTCAACAATTTCAAAACAGTCTAACCTAAACATGCACATAAAACCAGCAACACACAATAAAAGCATGCAATAACACAAAACTGTTAAGAAATTCAAACAATTATTAAAATAATTTAAAGCAACAGATAACAAACATTCCACTGTGT